ATAAAAATGACCAATTATTTCAGTATTTCTTTTTATGTGGAAAAAGTTTAAAGAGATGTATATTTAATGAGAAATAAGCATAATCTTTTTTGTAATGAGCATGTATAATTTTTGTAAACAAAAGAAACACTTTGTAATTGTCAAGGTTAGATCTTTTGAGGGCCTTGATTAGCGTGAAAACAGTAGGAATTGTGTAACCAGATAAATGATGTGGGTGACTGAATCACAGAGAGAAACCTGGGTGTCCTGGATTTGGCACAATGCCTCCTACATTTTGATTAAGATGAGTAGGGGTGTTATCAATGACTGGGGTAAGGGAAAATGCCCTGAAGACCAATTTGGCAATCCAGGTGGTAAAATCCAGCTACTGAATGTATACAAACAAACCCGTTGTGACATCCACAGTTCTCAAGTCTCTAAGTAAACCACATCCACAAAAGACTGAGGCATTGCCAACGAGGAATGAAGGCTTAGCCTGGTGTTGGATAGTAAGTTTTTGAATTGGCTGAAATATCAAATAAATGATTAGTTTTTTCTACTTCAAAAACTTAGAGGCATAATTATCATCATTGGACTCTTGGCCTTCAAATTCTATTTGAATGACATTTGATCATGACGTTCTAACTTCCCACTTCTGTGTCTCTGTCTTGTGGTAGGTTTTTCCAACCCATAGAAAGCAACAGTATCTGCCAGGTCTTCCTAGTTATTCACATATATATTCATATATGTATGACTTATCTTTCTCATAATCATGTATGAATCTATATGCATACATATCTATACACATACTAATAGCTAACATCTATCAAGTGCTCCCTCTGCTTGTCAAACATTGTTCCAAGCACTTCACATGCATTATTCCTTATCATCCTCACTACAAGCCAGTGATGTAGACACTGTTATTATTTCCATTTTACAGATCAGGAAACTGAGGGGTTAGAAGGCTACATAACATGCCCAAGGCCTTAGAAGGAGTACAAGGTAGAGCTGGTTTCCTGACTCTGCTCTCTTAATAACCACACTCATATCTCAAAAAGCATCTAGAAGATATGCACCAACTTGTTAAATAATTACCTAATGAGGTTGGTGTTGTAAGGAAACCTGTACTTCCTATTTTTCTCTGTTTTGTTTAGATTTCTAGCAATATCAATATTACATCTTAACTGGAAAAAATGTTTTCAAATTACCATCAACTATGTCATTTTCTTAACTTTACTGCATGTTGTGGTGTACTACTATATTGCCATGTGCTAGACTTTGTATTGGATGCAAGAATAAAAATGACGAGGTTCCTGCCCTCAAGGTGCTCACTGTCCAACCTCTGTTACATTTCCTAGAGGACTTTTTTTAGTAACCCAGCTCTCCTTTCATTCTTACCTTCTGCTTTGTCCTACCCATATGCCTAATGCTCTTGCCATGATGGAGAGCTTCACTTTCCCAAAGTGTATATTTCACTCTTAGGCCCCTGAGCCTTTGCTCATGAATTTCTATATTCTGTAGAATGAGTAGGAGTTCATCTGGAAGAACTCCTACTCAAACTTGAAAGCTACTGCCATGGTGAAGTCTTTTCACAAATTTCTAATGTTAAAAAGTTTTAAATATGTATTCAGGGCAATCATGAGCATAGTTCAAAAAGTAGCACTGAAGTACTAAAAAAGAAAAGCAAGTCTTCCACCTCAGCCCACCCAACCCCAACGTCAACCTCCACCTCAAGCTCATCGCCATTTTCCAAACTCTGAATGGTTTCTGTTTTTAGATTTCTGGTAGTGATTTCCATGTTTCCAAAATAACATGCTATCTTGTTATTTATTGGTATATCATCTTAGGCCCTATCTATCTAATTTTTCCTAAGAGAAATGAAGATTTAACTCATATACACGCTGGTCTTATCTCCTCCCTAACCTCCTAATAGAGATATATCTATATGCTCAGCCCTGCACTGCTCTCTCCTCTGTACACCCAGATCTTTTTATCCTCTTCTGTCAACCACAGACACTATCTTTTGACTGTAACTTCCTAAAATGGGAACCTTAGTACCCCACCCTTCTCTCCACCCTGCTCCAGCTCCTACCCCTTTCTACCTATTGACGTTTACACTGTGCATTAAAAAAGTTAACTATATCTACATTTTCTTTTATAGTCATAGTTCTTCTTTGACTTGTTTATGAGGTGAATCTAAAAACAGAAAACCAATAGGCAGCTTTTCTGCTATTAGACTATGTGACTACTGCTCCCTATAATCTAGTGGAGGGCTTGATTATGCTTTCCACTCTGGGTCATTAGGAGAACATTCAGATTTCAGATTTAAATGGGATCTCGTGTTTGAGACACCACTAGTAGATCAAAATCAATCCATTTTAGGTACATCACACTTGCATCAGGCCTTTCCTGGACATTTTCTCTCTTGAAGATCTTAGTTTTAATTTTAACTTTATATTTTAGATGGAAATAATTTAACCATTTTTTTTTTTTTCTTGGCATTCTGTCACCTTCTAACAACCTCAAGGGCTTCCAAGTTCCTAGTCATGCTTTTGATTTTATTGAACCCTATTTTTCCCTCCAGTCTTCCTACTGCAATCAGGATGGGTTGCTTCCTAGCCTTGGCACTCCTACCATTCTGGGACCTCTCCTGCTTATCCAAGTTGGAGCAAGTTTTCTTTGGGTCCCACACAGTGAGGTGTCCTTGACTTTCACATCTTTCTCAGGATAATTAGTAACTCACCTTGCTGAACTCCCACAGTACTCTGTATTTGCCTAATAGGGTAGCACTTTATGTTGTTTTTCCCTTATCCTCCAGGGATGTACTGTGTCTTATTCATCCTTGAAATGGTACCTGACATACAGCTGGTCCTCACCTCCATTAACACTATTCTAATTTAAAGAAACATCGAGCACGTGGCAAGGTACAGTGGCTCGGACCTGTAATCCCAGCACTTATGCAGGAAGATCACTTGAGCCTAGGAGTTCAGGACCAACCTGGGCAACATAGTGAGACACCATCACTACAAAAAATACGTATAAAAATTTAGCCTGGTGTGGTGTTATGTGTCTGTGATCCCAGCTACTTGTGAAGCTAAGGTAGGAGGATTTCTTAAGCCTGGGAGGTCAAGGCTGCAGTGAACTGTGATCACGCCACTGCACTCCAGGCTGGGTGACGGATTGAGACTCCGTCTTTAAACAAACAAACAAACAACAACAGAAAAGAAAAAGAAATTGAGCACATTATTACAATTCACTCTAACATCTTGATTGAAGGGAAGAACTGAGCCATCAGTTTCACTCATACTAAACAGGAAATAAGTACTGCTATTTTGATGGGAAATGAGAGGAGGAATTAAGTGAGTAATAGAATAACGAAGAACCAACTTATGAAAACTAAAACATAACCCATATCAGTCTCAATTTATAATCTGTATGTCTGTGTTGACTTATCCACTTGGAATGTGAGAAATATTCTTTATTAATTCCACTTACTGGGTTGCCAGATATAACACAGGAAGCCCAGTTAAATCTGAATTTCAGTTAAACAACAAATAATTTTTTAGTATATGTCCCCAATACTGCACGAGATGTATTTATACTAAAACACTATTTGTTGTTTATCTGAAATTCAAATTTCACCGAGTGTTCTGCATTTTTATTTGCTAAATCTGGGCACTCTTCACTGGGCACTTTCTCAGAGCACTAACCCATCAAATGCCAACTGCTGTGGGACTGCTCCGAGGATATGACCTAATGACAATGGAAGATGACATGTTGCTGGCAATGAGAGAAGTCAACACAATGTGTATACTTGTTTTCAGGAGTTGTTCTCAAAGCTTACCACCTTTTTAGTGTGGTGTTAGATCTTCAACTTCAACTTCATTTTTATCTTTGCTGTAAAGTCAAAGGAAGACATGAGAGATCTCTTTTGGTAGGGCATAATGTAGCCTTTTAAATTGATACATATTTGTGGGCCATTTGTTTTACAGGGAATTAGTCTAGGAAGTACAAGACAATGCCACTGGACAGATAGTGTCATTTAAATTTTTAAAAAAACTATTGTTAGGTTTAAATGAGTCACTACTTCATTAAGCTGTTAATATTAGATAACACACATCGAATGAATGTTTCCCATAGGCCAAGCTCTGTCCTAAGCATTTCACATGTATTCACATTTCATGCTCACAAGCTGCCTCTGACCGACTGATTTTGATTTTCTTGATTTTATGGATGAGGAAACTGAGAAGGAGAGATGATGAACTTTCCCAAGGTCACACCATTCATAAGTGGGAGAAACAAGCTAAAACTCAGGCCGTGTTACTGCAGAGTACTCAAAATCAAACAAAATTTCATCTCCGGTTCTGGCACCTCACCAAAAAACAAACCACGATTAAAAAATATAAAATTTTAGTAACAGCACACATAAATTTCAAAGTACTTTCCCCGAGTTTGTAACTGAAGTTTTAAGTAAGTGTGTTTTTAATTAATTATAAAGTGGATTGAAGAGAAAGTACTGGAAAATGAAGGAAGGAGTTTCCGCTAAACCCCGAACAAAACTGTGTTAAACTGAGCCATATAAAACGGCTCCTTCTAGCTCCATTTCTCCTCAGACCATGAGTGCTACTCCTGATTGCCCTGTATTGTCATTTCCAGGGAGAAATGACACCAGCACAGTGGCAGCCCTTCCAATCTGGAGCGCGGTCCACACCACTGCTGAATTGGTGCTCGGTGCACCACGTGCCGGAGTGCGGAAAACGCGCAGCACACTGCCGATTCTAGATGGTCGGAGGAATTCAGTGTACTCAGAGAACACCGTGCAACAAGCAAAACCGGCCTGATGCGGGGCGAATTCAGCCGGGGACAAATCTGATCGTATCGGGTCTGCGGACCGGAGCTGGCAAGCCAGGCACCACCCAGGCACCACCTGGCTCCGTCCGGGCTGGCTGAGTTCACCGCGGGTCCAGGTGGGTGAGGAGGATGCCGGGCGCGCCCGTGCGTCGGAAGCCGCCGCAGCCAGTGGGAGGCCGAGGCTCCTCCCCGGTCCCTCCTCCACCAGCGGCCGGGGAGGAGAGGGTCGGGGCCGCCAAGCCGCGCCGGGCGGGCCAGGGACACAGTCAGCGTGCAGCCCACCTACCCGCCCGCCCGGCGGAGCTGCTCTGCCGGCAGCCACGGGGACAGCAGCCGGCCGGAGACTCGCAGTGCTGGCGGCGAGAGGCGGTCGGGTTTGGAGCGCTCGGGTCGCTTCGGTGCGCGGTGGAACGCCCCCAGAGCCCCGGGTTCCCGCGAGCAGCTCCGCGCCGCGCCTGGGTGAGGAGGGGACCCGGGGACCCGGCGGGAGCGGGAGCGGGAGGAAGGGGGCGGGGCGCGCCGGGCGCGGGAGGCACTGTCGCCTCGCTGGAGGCCGGGACCCCGGGCCGGGGTGGGCTTAGCTGAGCCGCACTCGCCCTGCAGGCCGTTCCTGGACTCGCCGACCCTGCTGCTCTCGGAAACAGCGCTTCGGTCCTCGCGGGGAGACCTAGGGAGGGTGACAAGATTCGACACCAGTTCACCCAAACCTTTTCCCGAAAGGAAAGGAAGCAACTCCAAGATCTCAGAGCTAGGGAGGAGAGTCAGGCCAGGGCAATAGGGTACACACTGGGTTTTCTCATCTGTAAGTGTTTTACCGGGACAGTCTCTGTCTCTCACACACATCCCTACACCCCTCTCACTCACTCACTCTCCTCTCCCTCCTCTCTCTCCCTTTCTCCTTCCTCTCTCCCGCTCCCTCTCTCCCTTCCTCCCTCCCTCCCCCACCTCTGTTCAGAGAATTGGAAACTCTTAACTAAGAGTTACCAATAAAACAAGTCATCACAGAATGCAGGGAAATTACTGCTAAAATAATACCTGGCTTAATTTCTAAAGTTGAATATGCTCAGATAAAAATTCCAAAAATAAAATAATTAAAGCTGGGAATGAGAAAAAAAAATATTTTGGACAGATTTGCCTTTGTCCTGGCTGTAGCCATGCAGATATCTGTGACTGCAAAGATTTGTAGATAATTGAAAATATCTCTATGGCAGCAGCATTTCTGGAGAAGGCTGTGGACCAGAGTTCAATAGGGTTGTTTCACTTAGTGAAGCATTCTCTCTCAGAGGAAGGTCTTGCATTTTCCCTCATTGAATCACTAAGTACTAGAGAGTCAGGAAGTTTTAAAGTTGTTTACCAACTAGGGTGGCGATGTTCTTCACAGAGATAGGACAACTGACGCAGTGAGACACCTCTATTTCTCTTTCTTGTCTTTTTTTGATGTGCAACTTACTAAAAGGAGATACGCCTGCTTAGAGGAAAACAAGCCCTTCCTCATTTATGTTGTGTGCAGTGGAAATGTCAGCTCGTGACTTAATAGTCTCTAGGACATGTTAACTTGCCAGATCCCCTGAATTATTTACTGGTCAGTGTGTCTGAATTTCAGCTTGAAGTGGCCAGTCTGGTGATTCGAATTGCAGACAAAATGTGATAGTAATTCTGGCAGCTGTATGATTTATCTCTTACCATATCTACCACCCTATTTCCCTTAGGGTTGGGGAGTGGGGTGGTTGGGGCATCTTTAAGGGAGAGGTTACATGTCTCCTTGAAGCCAGAAATCTATTTGTTTGACTCATGTTTTGAAATGTTAAATTAGTTGCTCTGTTAAAAGTCAGTGGATATTACATACAAATGGAATTTTCCAGCTTTTCTTGGAAACAACTGGTTGATCTAGTGACACAGAGCTGTCATTCCTACATGGAAGCCATTAACAGGAATAGAGTGCTAGTCGCCTCCTTTGGATGATCCAGTCTGCCGTAATCCACACCAATCTTTATTCTATTGCATGGACCTGTTTGATTGATTTAAATTACCTGACTGGCCCTTGTAGACTTTTGATTTTTAACTTCAGGTTTAGAGCAATCAAGTGCAGCTTGTCTGTTACACTTTCGCCCTCATCTAATGCAAGATCTCTATTCTAGGAATCTCTACCCCGGCTGGTAGTCCCCAGACCTGTACTTTCACTGCTCCTCTGATAAAGAGGATATTGCTAATTGTTGAAAAACCCCTGTTGATGGAGCTGTGCAATCTGGGCCCACATAGGGCATGTTGAGGACTTTTGCACAGAACTGTGGCTGTCACATGCCATCTGAGTTTTTCCCATAGTAAACATTCCTCATTTGTTCAGCACCTCCTCCTGTGACTTGCTGCCTTATTCCCTCATTATTCTAGTTATTTTGGGCTTATTGTCTCTTGGCATGAACCTTTACTTGTTAAAATCCTTAAAGCCCCACCAATTAAACAGGATGGTGCAGAATGCAGTGGGAGGCTGGCCTCCTATTTTCTAAGATGTTATACTTTTGTCTTACAACTGAAGATGTCTTTAGATTTTTCTTGGCCAATCCATTGTGTTTTTAAATTTACTTTCAGGGCTTATTTTCCAGTTAGATTCTTCCAGATCGTTTACAGGAGAACTGTTCAATGTACAGCTTGAGAGCAATGGTTTTCAGCTGAAGATGATTTTTGCCCCCACTCCAGGGGACATTTGGCAATATCTGGAGACATACTATTTAGTTGACACACTGGGGTGTGCCAATGACATCTAGTGGGTAAAGGCCAGGGATGCTGCTAAACACCCTACAATACATAGGACAGCTCTCACAACCAAGACTTACCAACCCGGAGTGTCAGTAGGGCCAAGCTTAAGAATTCCTACTTTAGAGTCAGGGTCTAGGTTCAGATCCTGATTTAGCTACTTCTTATCTCTGTGACCTTGGGCATGTTATTTAACCTCTTTGTCTTTATTTTCTCATCTGTATATCGAAGAATTCTGAGGACTAAATGAGTTCATTTATATTTTTAGAAGGGTACCTACCACAGAGTAAGTCATCATGATTGCTAACTGTCGTACAAACACTCTCTTATTTTTCTACCTTATTTTATTCATTTTAGTTTGTACATATGACATCAGAGAAGTGGGTGGGTAAAGTTTGAGGGATAGCACTTCATTTCTGATCTTGCCTATAGGATGGGCACTGGTGCATTTGGATGTTTTAGGGAACTAACAGCTCTTCTCAGAACTGCCGTCCCTCCGTGGCCTCCATTATCATTTTTCCTGCTTCTTTCAGTATTTTCTGCTGTATTGGGGCATATATGTCAGTTTAATACTGCATCCTCCTGGAGAACATGGACACTGAGTTTCGTTAGCGGGAGAGGATCTGTTCCTGTTGCTTGTACACTCTATTTCCGGTGCCCCACAGGTTCCTCCACACCCCAGTCACTGTGGCTTGCACCTGCACAACAGACTCCTGGGGCTGAGCAGCAATTGGTAGACTTGGGGTAGTAGTAATAGCATTCCTCCAAGGGCTCATATCCCCATAACAACCCCGTTATCGGGGTTCCCCTTTCACAGATAAGGAGAGAAAAGCAGAAATTAGGCAAGACCTTAACTGCAGTCACCAAACTAGTAAGCAGCAGATTCAAGATACAAAGCTTTGCAGCCAGAAACTGGAGGTAGATTTCTAAATCACTTTATTCTTCTGACACAAGGTAAGTTTTCTCAAGAAGTATACCCATGACTTTTAACCTAACCACCATGTAGCTATTTATGCATACAACAGTCAACAGATCCACACTCTGTTGTGAGTAATATTGCATACATGGGGTGTATGTATGTGTGTTTCTTTTTCTTCCACTGTGTTTCATTTGTTAAGGGCAGGGGTTGATTGTGACTTTCATTTTTCATAATGCAAGGATCTCTGATCCTTTAAGGAGAAGCCACAGTTACTCTAGAAAAATCATTCTTCTGAAGCTTAAACTCATTGTAAGACTGTAGAGAAGACAGTAGCTGAGGTCACAGTGCCAGGTTGGCCTATCTAGGCAGGCAGGTTGGAGGATGCAATCTTAAGAGTAAGATCAAGAACTTTCAGTATAGCAGCAAGCTGTCCAGTGATCTTAGACAACTTTTACCTTTTATGACCTTTAAGCCATATAGAATATCAAACATCTGGACATTTGCACATTGGATGCAGATTAGTTCCCATTTCCAAAATTGTGAGTAGAATCAATCAATTATATGTTACTTGCAGGTTTTCAGTACAGTACTTGTACTTATAAATGAGTGTTAATAAACTACTTCCTCAATAAGGAACTTTCTTATTTTGCTCTTTTGACCGTACTTCTTTTCTTAGGTTGTGAAATGATTATGCAAGAGTTGTGGCTACTGTCCCCAATATAAGAGGCTTTGGACACTTCTGCAGAAGTCACTTGAGTGCTATACATTTGAGATAGTGTCCAAGTTAAGTTACAATTCCATTAGCTAATATGGTAGAGAGAAAATAATAGAGTAGATATTATCTTTTCTCTTTCTTGGTTTCATTAGCAAGTATTGAGCAGGAAATTTTTTGCAGATACTTTTAAAGAGAATCATATGTCTTGCATAAAGATGGGACCTGAGAGTTCAACCACACTCATCCCTTTTTCAGCATCCCTGGTGGGGAGTTATTTAGCAGTGTTTGAGTTCTCATGACAAAGAAAGCTACGCTGTGAGGTAGACATCACAACTGACTTAATTATCAAAATGTTCTTCCTTTTATTTCTCATGCATCTGCCTCCCTAGAATGAAATCCATATTTCTTCCTTGTTAAACAAGGATAGAGTTGCCCAGTATTTTCTTAGACCAAGGTTTCTCAACCTCAGCATTACTGCCATTTCGAGATTCCTCTATGATGTAGGGCTGTCCCGTGCACAATAGAATGCTTAACAGCATCCCTAACTGCTACTCACTAGATGCCAGTAGCAGCCCCCTCCTGGCTGTGGCAATGAAAGATATCTCCAGACATTACTAAGTGTTTTCTGGGGGGCAAAATTGCCTTAGTTGAGACGCTGTTGTAGAGTGATGTTCTAGCTGCATTCTCTAGCCTTCATCCTATGGTCAAATATCCAAAGAAGATTTTTATCTTCTTCAGCAATCATTTGGTCTGGTAGTGGGCCAGTTTTGAGGTACTTCAGCCACTTTCTTTGATTTTAGTGGAAACTGAATTGGCCTATTATTTGCTCTTTGTCTCATTAGGTTACTTTATATGTTCCATACTAGTTTTCTATTGCTGCTCTAAAAATTTACTACAGATTTAGTTGCTTAAAGCAACACAATTTATTATCTCATGGTTCTGAAAGTCAGAAGTCTGACACAGCTTTACTAGGCTAAAATAGAAGGTTCAGTGAAACTTGAGGAGTCAGCAAGGCTGTGTTGCTTTCTTGAGGCTCTAGAGATAACCTGTCGTCTTACCTTTCCAAGATTCTAG